TTTTTTTTTTTTTTTTTTTAAGCAATAAATCTATTTAAATAAGATGTTTAAAAATCTTTCTTTTTAAGTTGGAGAAATAAATTATTTGATTGAACTTCTTTAAGTTAGAAAACACAAAATGTTACTTACAGCCTGTATTCTCTGAAACAGGAGTTTTCTTCTTTCCACTTCCTCATGTGTGAGAGAAAACTCCCCGATTATCTAAAAATGGAAATGCTTAGCTCTGGGGGGTTATTAAATTGTATAATATCTAGTCCACCAAGTAGAATTTGATTAAGAAATTTTAACTGTAAATTTAAATGCATTATCTGCCACTTAAAGTCTTTAAGGTAAACGGATACCTCAGCCAGATGGGCAGCTCCAAGGTCTCCAATCTGATTTTTGCACAGAGATATAAAGAGTAAAGTACGATTCAGCCTCAGGCCCTGAGAGGGAAAACAAGCTGAAAATGTATCAGCAGCTCTGATGGGAACATGCAGGGAGAACACGGTTTAGCTCTGAATTATACCTTTGCAATATGTGCAGCACCCTCATCCCCAATATTGTTGAATGCCAGGTTGAGCCAGAGAAGATTTTTATTAGCCGATTTAATGGTGGAGAGAGCCGAACCTATCAGGCGGGCGCCTTCATCTCCGATCCGATTATTCCGCAAGGACACCTGGGTGAATCTTGACCAGAGAAACGTGACATGAATTTAGACATCCTTATGCACAAAAAAAAAAAACTGGGTTATTAGTGCTGGATTGCTGGACTCACTTGCTGTCTTCAGAGAGCAGATGGTGGAAGCTCAGGTTTGGGAGAGGATTGCCTTCCAGTGACACCTCTCTACCATGGCGAAGAGTTAACAAGCTGGATAAGCAATTCATATTCTACATATTCCACAGCACATTTACTTCCAAATCCAAAAATACTCCTGACTTGTCTCCTGCTAGGTGCAAATTAAAGCAATGTTTTCACAGTTTCAATGTCACAGAATCCACTCACCTCAGGTTGGAGCACAGAGATGTCGTGTTAGTGAGGGAAATCACCATCGGATCGGTGAGTCCAGCCTGCCAAAACCTGCAGCATAGAGGACAAGATAGAAAAAGCAAATAACAACCAGACAGCAGCAGCTGTTTGCTGTAACAAGAGAGCGCCTCTCTGTCTGCTCATTACTCACTGAAGGCTTTGAAGGTGGTTCATGGAGGGGAGCATCTTCTGCATGGCTCTGTAGGTCTGCTCACTTACCTTACATCCTGCATATCAAGCACAAATCTTACGGTTACCGCAGTCTATAGAACCTGCTTATATTTTGGGATTCATTTGATAACTTGTATTTAGATTGCTTTTTTGAAAGAGTAAAATCTGTGAATAATGCGAGATTAAGTGAGTTGGATATAGGCCCATTACTGGGGTGGTCCTTTTATTTTCCACAACAACAACAAAACAGTAATAAAGGGTAAATTCTTCAATACTGCTTTAACAGAAAGATTGTTTTTTATTTTTCTTCCAGACAATCCCTTTAAGGTCTTCCATTTGCCGCCATCTCATCCCTATGATTGTCATAAAAAGACTCCTTTTCCTGTGTCCTCCTCTTTGCCCCTTCCTGACAGGCTCATATTCAAACCAAACGATGGACACAGTAGTGTAAAAAATACACTCTGGTCAGACCTAATGTGAACTTCTTGGCCTTAAAGCAAAACTCCTTCAGTAGCAAAAAAAAAAAAAAAAAAGCCTCTATGCACCATCTCCACTAGGAAACATGGTGGCTGCAAACTTTATAAATAAATTAAGAAAGTCTTCCACTTGAAATTCATAGTTGCTTTGTGTAATTTGTGTCAGATAGAAATGACTAGAGGTTATTATGTATTATTCTGTATTACATTGATGTTTATGTTTGTAAAGTGACAAAATAAGAAAAAGTTTACGTTTTTAACAGAGTATCTGTGGCTCTGTTTAATTTGCATATTTTTTATAAGAAAAAGGTGCACTGTCGCTTCAGTGATACCTTCAAGACCAGGACATCAATATATAATTCTACATGTTATAGAAAAGAAATCTCTATGTTTTTTATTTTATTTCAAGCCAAATGCTTTATGTTTAGCCTAGAAATGAGGTTTGTGAGTTGGAGACTACTCAGATAAATAGACGTTTTTGGTATAATAGGAAGTAATGATCTATTATATGCCATAAGAGGTAATCAGTCAGAAACAAAGTCCTTCGGCATAGGATGCAGTGTCTAATCATCACCAAATCACATAAATTTAAATAACTTATTTAGTTCTTGAATCAGGTTTAGTTCTGTTTGCTTCTTACCAGAAATCCACATCCTCTTGGCACTAAGGGGGTCTTCGTTTTCCAGCTCAATGTTTAAACACGGCTTAGACCAGATATTTAAGGTCTTCATCTCTGGAAGGTCGTCCTCTGTAGGTAACATTATTTTGATCCTCAGAAAATAGCAGCACGAAAATTAAGTTTCACAGAGAAATATCCAGCACAAGTATCATACCAGGACTTTTTCATTATTTTGGATTATTTAATCATATCATTTAAACATTTAGATGTGTATTTTATGAGGAATTAATGTGATAGATTAATGTAATGTAGTGTTTTAAAAGTAAGACCTTGTTTGGCTCAAAGCGACCTGCTTGGTTTCCTTTGATAGAAACAAACTGAATGAAATCACTGAATTGACACTGTAAAGCACTTTGAGATGTGCTGTTTTTAATTGGTGGTTTATAAATGAACTAACTTGGTATGGTTTTCAAAATATTTTACACACGCAGACTCATTTTCAGCCATTTCAGTATCGCTAAAGAATATGTACAAGATTTATGGCTTGTAAATATTCTCTGTTCAAAACCTCTCAAATGTAGCTATAGCTGTGTTTTAATGGTTGCCGTCCTACTATAAGGTTTTCCATTTTTCCAGTTATATGGAGCCTTTAGAAACTTTATTGTTATGTTTTCTTTTTTGTTTTCAAGGACTGCCCTGCATTTAGCACCATCCAACTCTGTCTCTTTCTTGTCTCTTCTGTCCATATCATGATGCTGTCACCTTGGGGGTGGTTTGTTCAGATTTGATTTTGTGATTAGATTATCCACAGGTTGATTCAATTTTCAGATTAGCTGTAAATCTGATTAAGGCATTAGGGGGTAAAATACAAATCCATGATAAACCTGCAAGCAGAATTTTTTTAAATCAAACATCATTTTCCCTCTCCTTCACAATTTTTCACTAATTTGTCATCATATGAAATCCACGTCAAGCACAACGAAGGTTGTGGTTTGAGGAATTAAAAACACATTTGGTAGGGTTTATATCTGTTTTCCTAAGAACACAAGAAGCCTAATACTTACGAACACCGCCTTCATTTTTATCAGTGGTGGAGTGTGGATGTTTGGTCCTGACAGCTAAGATTTCCTTTATGTTCAGGAGAGCACAAAGCGCAGGAAAGTCGACCTCCACGTTTCCAGTGCACTGATAGGTATCTGTTGCATTTTTGGATTACCATTAATCTGGGAATAAATTTTATACAAATTTTATACCAATGTGTGAACTGAGGGGATTCACTGCTTACCAAAAGTCAGAATTGCTGACAACTCATTGGAACCTGTGGAATAACACAACGACATGTGATGATATATAGATATATAATTAGTTTATATAGATAGATTGACAGATCGATATATATATATATATATATATATATCATAAATCAGATTTGGTACAGGGTACAGGCAGGGATTAAGCAGCCGGCTGAATTTAATTATTTAACATCATTATAATCTAATGATAACAGCATTTAAAAAGTATTTCCATAAACAATAAGTTTTAACTGAAAATCCGTAACACAATTCATATTACATTGTTAATTGAAACATGATTTAAACGTTTCTAAGAGACAGTTATGGTAGCTAAATTTGTGTTAGCTTGTCAGCGCTACTTAAAAACTAAATCACTACGTTATTTTCTAGCTAACCTGCGTTTTTCGACCCTTCAGCTTCTTGGTTGAATTTATCTCTCAGTCCTTTTTTTCTAGACATTATGTTGTTTAATCGAACCAAATTATTTCTGGGGAAATTGTTCAATTTAGCCAAAATTCGAGTTAAAACAACGGTTTATTGGCTTTACTTCTGTGTAAGTTGTTACCAAGGCAACCGAGTCATAGTTCCAAGGTCTATCGCGAGATTAACGTTTAGCGCAACTGAATCACTAGCGACTTAATGAGAAAAAGATTCGGGGTCAGATTTTCCTTCTCTGGTCCAGGATTGAATATGTGTACTTAAAACATATTTAAAAAAGATTTGAATAATAATGTAGGAATTAATTCAGTCTATAATCGTATGAATCACTAATTAAAATACATTACATGATTCAATATTCACATTTTGCACCTGTATTTGAGTTTTTTTTTTTCTTTTTTACAATTCCAGAACAAGTCTAAGTACATTATGTGATTAATAAACATACATTTTATTTAACTACAAAAATTTTTAAAAACACTTAATATAGGTAAATAGAACATAGAAAAGTGAAAAAGAGCTTCAACGTTTGAGATAATGTTTTCTTCACCAGGGCAGACAGGAGCAATGTCATAGTGAGGGCAAGGCAGTAATCGATATCTGCTCCAGGGTTCCTGTAACAATCCTTTACCTTTACTTTCCAAGGTCTTTATTAGCTGTTCAGTCATTGAATCAAAAGTCCCCTTTAATTTGTGATACATATTACAGTGGGCAGGCTTTCAATACAGAAAAAGAAATAAAAATAAAGATTATAAACAGAGTGTGGAAGGATGGATATTGTCACTCACAAATTTTAATTTTAAAATCCCACAACTTTCTAGACTTTAGATCTAAAATGCTCAACTTTACAATAAATTCATGGCAAACATTTTTTTTAGTGCTCAGGATTTAATGTGGAACCTGGAAAAAGGAAAAACCTACAGAAGTCATGGACTTAAAGGATAAGAAAGACAAGATGGATTAGGAGGTTCCACAAAAGAAAGGAAGGAATTAGGGGCACAAAGACAGAAGAACACAACGAAGCGACAAAAGGCAAGGAAGGTCAAAATAGGGTGGGGAAAAAAGGATAAAGTTTGTAGGACAAAAGCACACAGAAGGGATAGAGGTGGAAGACAAGTGAAAAAAAAAGACAAATTAAGTAAAATAAAGGGAAAAATAATCAAGACAGGACTTAAGTGTAGAAAAAATAAGAAATAATACTTTGAGTACAGAAATGTGGAAGGAAGAGGGTAAGAAAGGAAAGCAAAGTGTTGAAAAAAGGGGAGATTTTTCCAGACTGCTGCTCAGTTCTCATCCATGATCCTGAGAGATAACCACAGACGCAGAATTCACAATAGTGTAGTGCTTTTTATTAAAAAACAAACAAACAAAAACAAATATAAAACAAAAAGTAAAAACCAACATTTTTTTTTCATGACTTAAGAATCGTAATTACAAACTTTGAACGAGTGGAAGTTTTTTCGTTGCTTTTTTTTTCGTTGTTGTTTTGACAAACTGTACACATCACAAAATGTCCGTCAGTTTTGCCATTTACAATGCTTGCATCTTATTTTGTGATTGTCTAAAAATAACTAAACGGATCACACAAAACACACAAATACAAGTACAAGCATCATACAATGACTGCTATCACAAAACGGAACCGTTTTCCTATTTGAAAGAAAAACAAAAAATATATTTATATCTATTTATATATTTATATATATAATAGCATGATATCATTTCTGACAGCTTTACTTTTGTTTTCTGTCAGCATTTAAAAATATCTTAACATTTTTATGTTGGTTTGTTTTTTTAGTGTTCAACACTTTGCAGCAAAAAAACAAGGAGCAGATTCCTCCTTAAAAAAGTTATATTATTAACAAAATTCAGTGGCGAAAAGGTGTCGTTGCAGAGCCACTGTCACATCCCAATGCCTTCTGACATTCTTCTTGCTCATGCACTTTACAGGTGGACTTAATTTATAGGCAAACAACTCAAATTTCATGTCATCAGCACTGCTATTGGTGAGAATCTCTGGAAATTACGAAAAACATTTCTCCTCAGAGCTTAAGTGTCTTCATTATAGTAATACAAAGCGAAGAAATAATAATAATAATAATAATACATTTAGGGCTGAGATCTGTACAGTACAATAATAAACAAAATCCATTTTCAAGATATTGCTTTTGGAGACACTTGTTAATGTAAAGTGTGCATATTTACAGAACTTGGCACTGTACAGCTTCACGTTCCACGTTCTCTCTGGTTCTCATCACTTCTGTCAGTTTATCACACCGGGACATTACAGGGAAAAGAAAGGAAATCTCATCAAATATCGCTTCTTTTTTTTTTTTTTTTTTTAAACATTCTCCATGGCAATCAGTCCGAAGACAAAGAAAAACTTAAGGAAAGAGACGCAAGTCAAAATATACAGTATACACTGCTCCGCAATTCTCAAAGAATATAAGAAAATATGACTGTCAAGATACATTTCATGTTAAGTATTGTTTCCCCCCTACAACGGTTAATTGCCATCGAGCCCTTATTTTTTGTTTTTTACTGTTTTTTTTAGAAAAAAAAAACAAAACAAGACAAAAAGGTATATATATATATATATTCAGAAAATCTGGCAGACACACATTTGCACGCAAGGCAGTGAGAGACGGCAGCGGCTGCATAAGGCGTTACAGTTAAAGCCGGTGCCATCCCTCCTCCTCCTCCTGCCTGATTTATTTAAGCTGGTGAATCGCTTTGCTTCTTAAAAACATGGGGCAAAGCTGACTGCCTCACGGCTAAGTAAGAAATAATAACAGAACACTTTGACATAAGCGCAAACATAATCCGAAACCACGCTACAGGCCTCCTCCTATTTCTAGATGAGATACTTAGGAAAGAAAAAAAAAAAGAAGCATGAAAAAGATCTAGATTTGTAACTTGCTTTTGTCAGACTGCAGCCAATACTGTGAGTGTGTTAGTGTACTTTCATTGTGAATAAATTACACAGAGCTTCACAATATCCAAGGTACCAAAAGTGCAGTTCTCCACCAATGTTCTCTCTGTCTAAAGCGCAGCATCAGAGCACACCGCTCAGCTTTACATGTTCTCCTATATGCCAGTTTCCTCTCTTCATTTTAATTTCAGCACTGCAGCAAAATCCCGCTATGAAGAACAATAATTCACGATGTACGAGAAAATTAAAGAAAATAAACCCTCCCTCCCCCGTCCATCTCTGTTTAGTACCAACCGTTTTATTCTAATGCCTGCAAGCAATATTTATCGACCCACGATTTTCTAATGTTCGATGCATTTAAGTGCATGGGTTATTTCTCCTATGTTCAATAAAAAATAAAAATAATTTGCATGTTGCACTTAAATAAGAAGACCGGGAGAACTTGTTTTTGTTTCAAGGTGGAACTTCCTTTGAGTAAGAACTTTTGGAGCTCCTTCCACCTTCTCAGAGCAGAGATGACTGTCTTGGAAGAGGTAAACTTTGAAGACGCAATCCCCTTGGATGCATTGTGATCCGTAAAAAATAGGATAGGCAACAATGCTTGATTCCCTTCTTTACTGTCTCTCCATTTTCTGTCCATCTCTTCACAGCAGCAAAAGGCAGAGTGCTTATAACTGGCATGTCAGAAATGTTATTTCCTGGAAACAAAATCTCCAAATCCAAGCGTCCTTCTCCGTAACCGACGTCCTGCCCCTTCCTCAAGAAGATAGGTGACATCAATAGCTAGTGGGAAGGAGAAAGAAAACGATTTAGGGGGCTTCACCCAAAGACTATTTATTAGATTAAAGAAGAGTCGAAATTCTGACAGCTGGGGTGGTTCATGCGTATGAGTTTAGCTATACAGCCACAGAGCCAAGGCCCCATTTAAACTGGTTCCTATTTGCAGAGGCCTGTGTTTGTATCATATTTGTTATGTATACAAAATACCATAAACAGAAGATTTAGGGTATTGCAGAGCTGCAAATCTAAACTGGGAGGCCTTGACATCAAAACATATGAAAATTAGTTAGGGATGATCAGCCAAAGTACAGAGCTAATCCAATGGAGAATTTTTGCAAAGATTAGAGAACTAAAGCAACACTAACTTTTAACCACTAGGGGGGGGCTAGACTGAAAACTTCTAAGCTTAGCCCCTATGAAGGCCAATGGCAAAACTATACTGTCACCAAATTAAAAAGACTGCGTCCATGTTTTGGGATCGGAGTCAGCTGCTGGTAAAGACGAGGCCCCATTCATCTGTCTGGATTAAATCCAATATCAAAGAACCAAAAATCTGTCCGTTTAGGTATCTGTTTTTTGCCTCTCCACTGATCTCCAACCAGCTTCCATATTAAAGATGTATTTAGGGTGACCTTTGAATGCGTCAAATAAACATTATTAGTTTAAGTTTGTAGTTCAATCTTCATTCACTTTATTATCAATCATTTTATTATTTCTTCAACCGTCACCCTGCTATTAACATATTTTATAACGGCAAACAAAGTTTAATTATATAGAATATGTTAATAGTAGGGTGATGATCAAGATCCTAGAGCCTATTTTAAGTATTGGTCAAAATGATTTCTTTTAGTTGAAAACCAGTTTTTCATCCACTGTGCAGTTATTCACTACACTGTCATCACATTATATCACATCATAGCATTTATAGCTAACTGTGGTAGCAACAGGACAAATTGTTAACAACTATCAATATATTTACTAAAAAACCAAACAGGATAAACCTGAAGCGGGATTAATAAAACATATCTAAATGGAATGTATGAATGACATGAGACGATAGTCAGTATGCATCTGTTGACCTACCCCCCCTGCTTTGTTCCCGGTCCCTCACCGTTCTTGCTGGGCGCTCTGTGCAGCAGATCCAGCAGGATCTTGTCCAGCCGTTCCCTCTGGACCTCCCTCCTGCTTAGCGCCGGGTGGTGGAGCGGCGAAGAGGCAGAGGAGAGAGGCAGTTCAAGCATCTCTCCTAACCTGTTTTCTGGACTTTCCCCAAGCTCCTTCCGCACCCCAGCCTCCAGCCCTTCCTCCTCCTCCTCCTCCTCCTCATTTTCCTCCTCATCTCCTGC